TTTATTTTAATTTCAGATGTTCCAAAAGTGGAGTGTGCATATATTTGTTTGTTTTATTTAAATTTAATCATTTAATCTCATCTGATAAGCAATATTACTGTTTTTACACAAATAACAATCTCTAAAATACCTGCGTGTTTTATAGTAATTTTCAGCAAAAAGTTCTTCCTTTCATTTTGTTTCACCATAGATGCGTGTCGTAAATGACGGGCTGGGCTTATTTCCGGTCTCGTCTTGCTTATATATAGGTTACCAATGAAGATAATCAAATATCATTACTACATTTTTGATAATAATAGGGTATAAACTATAATGTTGATTAGATCTACTGGAAGTCAACATTCTGTTTTGTATTAAAGGAACTAATTATACACCTGGTTTAAATTAATTTTAGAATGATGCAATAAAATATCTAAATGGGAATCGTTAATAATATTACCATAGTTAATAATATATGAACAAAGGCAAACATTTTTTAGTTACTATACAGGGTGAGTCTTAAATAAGTGCAAATATCTGTAACGATAGTATATGATTTATTTTTTGCAAAAAAAAATATTTAGATTTAAAAAAAATTGGAAACTTTTTTAGTTTTCAGTTAAAAAATATAATTTTTTGATAATATAATGGCAACTTTGGATGATTTGATTCATTAATTATGGGGTTTCTTTGTGCACGAAATGTCGTCAAAATATCATTAAAGGGATCTTCAATAAGATCCGCACAACTTTCGGAAACTTAAAAAAATTAACACACGTCACAAAATTAATACACAGGTCATTCGGCCAGAGTCTCCAGAAACTTCGCTGCTTGATCTAAGTGCTGTTTCACTTGGAAAGGACCGTTCCTGATGATTGTTTGTAAGAGTCTTGTTTTCCGTTAAAAAATTGTTTATATTAAATTGTGTTATTTTAAGAAATAATATTTTATTTGAATCTCTAATTGACTTTTCTTGACCGCATGTATACAATGTCGTTTCCTAGACGATGCGGTTTGCATTGTTGATGATTATTTTGACTGACGTCGCCATTTATCAAAAAATATTAAATTCAGATTATAATTGTGTGGAAAATATTTCTGGGACTGAATAGAAGGAATGAAGTATTATACAGGTGAGTGTATTTTGTTCACTCACGGGCATTACTGGGATTTGTATGAGAGTAGTTTAATATTATTCAGTTAACAGTTATTGAGCTTTAGTAGTAGATAGAGAAGGGTATTTTAGTATTACTTTTCTGTGTGTGTGTTTTATAGTAGACAAGTGTTTATCAAAGGGCATTTTAATATAGTTTAGTTAAAAGATAGATGTTTATCAAAGAGTGTTTTAGTGTTATTTATTATAGATACGTAATGGACAGCTATTTATCAAAGAGTATTTTAGTAATATTTATTGGGTGTGATTTATAATACCTGGCAAATTATCAAATGGTATTTAGTATTATTATTTTGGAGTGTTTTATATTTTTACGTATGACTCAAATTGTTTAACAACAATAATAAGCTATGTCGCTTTGTGGCCATCCCTTTTGTGTGTGGGACAGACGCCTTGTCGCTTAGCTACGGAACAACAACATCAAGCTATGTCGCTTTGTGGCCATCCCTTTTGTGTGTGGGACAGACGCCTTGTCGCTTAGCTACGGAACAACAACATTAAGCTATGTCGCTTTGTGGCCATCCCTTTTGCGTGTGGGACAGACGCCTTGTCGCTTAGCTACGGAACAACAACATTAAGCTATGTCGCTTTGTGGCCATCCCTTTTGCGTGTGGGACAGACGCCTTGTCGCTTAGCTGCGGAACAACAACATTATGCTATGTCGCTTTGTGGCCATCCCTTTTGTGTGTGGGACAGACGCCTTGTCGCTTAGCTACGGAACAACAAAAATATTTAACTATTTTATATACTCGATTATGGTGATGTGATCATGAGCGTTTTCCAGCGATGCTCAAGTATATTTTATTTTTATAGATTGCAAATTGCGTGATCATAGAGTGAGAGCATTACACAAGTGTCCCGGCATCTAAGGTGAGTTTAGCTTCTTTTGTTTATGTTGTTTGAATATTAAATTGATATTAACACCATTCATATATTATGCTATATAAATAAAAAAAAAATTATATTTTTCTTACTCGCTCTTACAATTCAGAAGTGGGATCTGAGCTTTTCAGGTCTATGTATAATATATTTTTGCGTATTTTCAGTTTATACATATTTTTATTATAAGTTTGTATTTATTTAAGATATCTGACATGCCCAAATTATGTTATTAGATCATTATTTGTGGATAAATAAATATGTAGTATTATTATTAATAAAATTACAGTTACTAGTGATGTATTTAATTTGTATGGGCGACAGAAATAGCGGCCAACTTACTTCGACTACAACTTAATTACTTAACTACGACTTAACTGATGGCAGATAGACCAAAGAAAAGACGTATGAATGTGGCTAGAAAAGAGTTCAAACAACAAGAGAAAGTCAGAATATGAAATAATTTGGAAATTTTTCAAAATTTGTCACGAGACAGAAGAGATTCGGTACGACCTGATAGTCAAAACCAGTCAAAAATATTACAGAGTAGTAAAAGTATATGGCCGAACGTCGAAAGCATACATAGATTTTGAAAGTACATGTAACACTATATAGAAGAGTGAAGCAAATCCTATGACTTTACCTATACATATATCTCGATGTTGTGTATTGAAAGGACATCGTGATGGCAGAGTTGAATTTTTGGATACTACCAATTTAGAACTACAAATCGATGGCATTTAAAGATCGGTGGATATTTACCTGACAACGGAGCGTTCGTGTAATGAAAGATGAACTTTCTTGTCTGAAGCTAGTTCTTCTCCTGGAATAAATGATGTACAGAAAATAACTTTGCGATCAGTCATGCAGTGCCAATATCACCAAGTGAGCAAGTTACTATCAGAACTGCTGGATACTGAACATGCTAGGAGAATCTACAAAGACTATCCCATACGTGAAGGACAAGTCTACAGAACTAAAGCCAAAATACTACAATGGGTAGTTCTGCAAAAAAATGTGATTTCATGTAGTTCGAACTTCTCACGATGATTTGAACCACTTAGCTGCTAAAAAATTTACTAGGTATTATTGGTTTCCCCGGATGAAAGCTAATGTGGGAAATACATTAAGTGCTGTAGACTGTGCTTGAATAAAGAAAACGACCAACAGAAGAAAGAACTTCCAATGCATACCGTCTATCTTGATTACTTCGGACTTTATCCAAAAAGCAGAAAGAAGAATCATAATTATTTAACGCCATAGATGCCTTTACTAAGTTTATTTTCATGAAAGCCGTCAGTACAACAAAGACGAGTAAAGTGTTGATATTTTTGGATGACATATCTGCTTTATTTGAACGACCTATTCGGATTATCACTGATCTGTTTTCACATCTAAAATGTTCAGTGCTTATTGTCAAGAACGAGCAAGTATACCTGTGAAAGTAGCGTTGGTGCTTTAATTTAAAAATATCTCGGATCACAGAAAAAAAAACTGATCTATAACGCGATTCTGAAAAGCGCAATGTTATATGACTCTGGGGTATGGCTGTTAAGCAAAAAAAAAACATAAAAAGAAGTTGTTGTCTACCGAAATGGACTTCTGGTGAAGATCAGCCCGAATCTCTCGTTTAAACAGAATTAGGAACGAGAGAATACATGAAAAAAAATGAAGGTGGATGGTAACATTGTAAAGATATACAAAAAAAAACAACTACAGTGGTACGGCCACATGTATGTACAACGAATGGCTGACGACAGAATACCAAAGCAAGTATTGCAGTAGACACCTAGAGACAAACGTAAACGAGGCTGACCTAAGCCTTCCTGGAATCAAGGATTCGACGAGCCATGTCGGAAGGGAACCTATACTATCAGGAGATATTGGGACAACAGACGAAGGACGCTGTAACAAGCAGATACATCCATACAAATTAGCGGTGGCAACGTGTAGAGCTGATAGTCAAATTGAACATTACAATTACACAATCCACAATTCACTGATGATCTCAACTCTAAAGGAACTCTAAATGATCTCAACTCTAAAGGACACAACAATATAAACATAAACAATATGCCAAATAAGAACACCGGAAAAACTTCAAGTGAATTCGTCCATAGATATCACTCTGAACCTCTGAACTTAAACAAAAAAAAATTAATTTAAATAAATTCTCTATATCAAAGAGCTACTACACGCTAAACGAATTCTTCCGGGACCTCAAAACTCAAGGCTTATCGGCAGATATATAATAATAATTCTTGAATTAAAATTGTTCTGTTTGTGTATAAATTCAGGTATATTTGTTTTATATTTGTCTTTGTGTAATTTTATATCTTAAAATTGTTCTAGTTTTCTGTATATATTCTTCGTGGAGATCCTATAATCTAAGTACCATTGTATTTATATTAAATGGAATTAATCAAATCAAATCAAATCAAATCATCAAAGACAAACAACCGATTAGTGCTTGGTTTATGCAGTTACATGAATACCTCGGGTAGTAGATAATCTTTTACTTGAAAGAGAAAGAACAAGCAGAATAACTGAGCTGACTGAAAGCAAACAGACAGTTTACTTTGATAAAACTCGTAAAGAAGCAAGACAGCCCAAGATAGGTGATTTGGTGCTTATCAAGAGAACAGCACCAACAGTCATATCAGCCGTAGATTACTTTCCGTCTGCAGCGGACCAATGGTAATAAAATCCGAATTGTCACATGATAGGTACATGGTGGATATGGAGTCCACTTATTGAAACAAACGTAAAGTTAACTAAACGAACGGTGGCAGTGAGACACTGGAAAACATGTGGAGAAGTTTCAGATTCAGCTGCTAGTGAAAGATATAGTAAATATGGAGATTTAGTATTATCCGATATTTAGGCGTATTTATCCGATAATTAGGCGTAAGCCTAATGAAATCCGATTAGGCAAGCTCGGGACGAGCTTCTAGCAGGATGGCCGACTGTAAGAGTTTTGTTTTCCGTTAAAAAATTGTTTATATTAAATTGTGTTATTTTAAGAAATAATATTTTATTTGAATCTCTAATTGACTTTTCTTGACCGCATGTATACAATGTCGTTTCCTAGACGATGCGGTTTGCATTGTTGATGATTATTTTGACTGACGTCGCCATTTATCAAAAAAATATTAAATTCAGATTATAATTGTGTGGAAAATATTTCTGGGACTGAATAGAAGGAATGAAGTATTATACAGGTGAGTGTATTTTGTTCACTCACGGGCATTACTGGGATTTGTATGAGAGTAGTTTAATATTATTTAGTTAACAGTTATCACTGAGCTTTAGTAGTAGATAGAGAAGGGTATTTTAGTATTACTTTAGTGTGTGTGTGTTTTATAGTAGATAAGTATTTATCAAAGAGCATTTTAATATTGTTTAGTTGAAAGACAGATGTTTATCAAAGAGTGTTTTAGTGTTATTTATTATAGATACGTAATGGACAGCTATTTATCAAAGAGTATTTTAGTAATATTTATTGGGTGTGATTTATAATACCTGGCAAATTATCAAATGGTATTTAGTATTCTTATTTTGGAGTGTTTTATATTTTTACGTATGACCCAAATTGTTTAACAACAATAATAAGCTATGTCGCTTTGTGGCCATCCCTTTTGTGTGTGGGACAGACGCCTTGTCGCTTAGCTACGGAACAACAACATTAAGCTATGTCGCTTTGTGGCCATCCCTTTTGTGTGTGGGACAGACGCCTTGTCGCTTAGCTACGGAACAACAACATTAAGCTATGTCGCTTTGTGGCCATCCCTTTTGTGTGTGGGACAGACGCCTTGTCGCTTAGCTACGGAACAACAACATTAAGCTATGTCGCTTTGTGGCCATCCCTTTTGTGTGTGGGACAGACACCTTGTCGCTTAGCTACGGAACAACAACATTAAGCTATGTCGCTTTGTGGCCATCCCTTTTGTGTGTGGGACAGACGCCTTGTCGTTTAGCTACGGAACAACAACATTAAGCTATGTCGCTTTGTGGCCATCCCTTTTGCGTGTGGGACAGACGCCTTGTCGCTTAGCTACGGAACAACAACATTAAGCTATGTCGCTTTGTGGCCATCCCTTTTGCGTGTGGGACAGACGCCTTGTCGCTTAGCTGCGGAACAACAACATTATGCTATGTCGCTTTGTGGCCATCCCTTTTGTGTGTGGGACAGACGCCTTGTCGCTTAGCTACGGAACAACAAAAATATTTAACTATTTTATATACTCGATTATGGTGATGTGATCATGTGCGTTTTCCAGTGATGCTCAAGTATATTTTATTTTTATAGATTGCAAATTGCGTGATCATAGAGTGAGAGCATTACACAAGTGTCCCGGCATCTAAGGTGAGTTTAGCTTCTTTTGTTTATGTTGTTTGAATATTAAATTGATATTAACACCATTCATATATTATGCTATATAAATAAAAAAAAAATATTATATTTTTCTTACTCGCTCTTACACGTTCCTGTTGTGCCGTTTCACATGGAGTGGATCGTCCGCGCGGACCCTTCAGTGGTTGAACAGATACCATGAGTTTATATGAATATTTTCACAATGTAGCGGATGATCTGTCCGGATGATTTGTTCCGACGGCCATCCGTCGACCACTTCCTTTGACGGACCATCCACGCGCAAGCGTGTTATTTGATTAAAAACGTTGTTCCACATGCGCAGACTGATAGCACAGGTGAAAGTACTCCGTTGATCCTTAAAAATCCACACGACGGTCCACGCGGATGATCCGCTTCTTGTGAAAGGTGCATAATAGCTGCTCAAAGCACGCCTAAATCAACTCACGACTGTTTACAACCACGCCAAACCAAACCAAACCACGCCTTAATGGATTAATTAAAATACTGGCCGTGCTTCAGACAGGACATCGGACTCAACTTAAGCACCGAATTAGCAGCGCCTAAAGAGCATTCTGGAAATTAAACGACAGGGTTTTCTACAATCATGATTTGAGCACAAAAACGAAACTTGCAGTGTACCGAGCAATAATAATTCCCACCATGTTATATGGAAGTGAAACCTGGGTGCCGCACAGCCGACACACGAACGCATTAAACAAGTTGCAACAGAGACACCTTAGACAACTGTTAAGAATCAAATGGTACCACCGTGTCTCAAACGTATCAGTTCTTGAGAAAGCTAGCTGCGAGAGCGCTGAAGTCATAATTCCTAAATCCCCCTTAAGATCGGCTGGCCACGCATGCAGGATGCAAGAAAACTGCCTACCAAAATCTCTTCTTTACGGTGAGCTTGTAGACGATAAGAGGAATCCGGGTAGACAACTCCAAAGATACAAGGATATTTTCCATGAAAACTTAAAGGGGATAAGCATGCAGAGTCAGTGGGAGGAAGCAGCGCACAATAGAACGGTATGGAGAAGAATTGTAAAGTCAGTTAACTACGACAACCAAATAGTAAAGAGGCAACAAAGTAATGAGATGTCCGGAGTTGGGAAGAAAGATAACATTACGTATAAGGCTTTTCAGTCACAGAGAAACTCATGAATGAAAACGCCTTGCATAACCATTCTTCTGGTGCGTGTCAAATACTCGTCAGCTAGTCAGGGCATTAGCAGTAGTAGTAATCTTTTTACTAGGCAGATATCATAAGATTTATAACCAGCTTATTGCCCTGCAGGATTTATACATTTTGTACCAGGACCAGTTATTATTAGTGAATTTATATGTCTAAAACAATAAAATTATTTTATCTACAACCTTTTAGTTATAACGTTTTTACATCACTATTTTTTTAGTATTTCAGTAACGTTATGAGATTCATAACACAACTAGTGGTGTTATGAATCTATAACACAACTAGTTGCTATAATAATGAAAAACAACTACGAACATCTAAATATATGAACTTTTCCGGCAATAATGATTCCGTGGCACGTACTGCGGCAAGTTCTACATCTGAATGGAGACTTTCTGAATCGCTCATCGTAATTTTTAAAATGATTTTTCTGGGCAAAAAGTGCTCCTGTTTACTTGACAGGGCAAACTGACTTTTCAGCATAAATGTGACAAATGTCATAGTTAAAGGTGTTAAAGGTGGGCGACTAATAAACGAAAATTAAAACAGCATTTTCTTATTTTTCGGTTGTAGATAAAACGTTGTACATGACACGTGCGTTTAAACATGATTACAACACTCGTGTGATTAGAACGACTCGGTCTACGACCTCGTCGTTCTAATCATTCACACTCGTTATTGTAATCATGTTCATAAACACACTTGTACTGTAAATAACTATTATAACACACATATTTTTTATTTGTTTTCTAATCCCTGTGTTGGACATTATTCACTGTTCAGTTCGATCAATTCAATTGTTTTTATCATATTGCCTACTAGAAATTGGCCATTTTATACTGTATTAATTTTGTAGTCAAAAATATACAATGCACTCCCATTCAACTAACTTTTTATATGTCTTGTAAAAATAAGTTTGAATTATCCCGTATATTTGAAAAAATACCTACAATAATATCGTTAGATAATACGTTTTATGAACATCTTCGCTTAATTTAGTTTTATGTCAAATAATTTTGTGCGCTTTCTATTATCCTATTTAAAGAAAATAATTATTAAATTAAATAACTTACTTCTCTCTAACCTAATTCCATTTTACAAATTGCCGTGTTTACAAACGTGCTGATATCATATTCCCCCCTCCCTTCGACTACGTACACCCGATATTTACACACCTATAAACGTTGTCCCCGTATTTAAGTATCTCCCTTCATTCATTATAAAAATCCAGGTGTGCTCAATGGGTTATTGTTCCTCGACAGGCAAGGGCTTTCTTATTGATAACTTATTGCGTCGTACGAGAAAATACACATACTACGCGGTACACTTTTCGCTATTGAACTTTTTAAAAGCGTATACCGAATATCCTTATTTCATTATATTCTGTTAAGTAATATCTTCTTTGTTTTACACTTCCTTAAGTAACTAAAACCACCTATTGAAACTGTAAAACTTGGAAAATAAGTTGGTTATAATAATGGTTTTATAGTTCGGAAACTCTCTATTTATTTATCTAGTAATGCTAAAACACTCTATTTTAAAGTCGATTAGAGAAAATAGTATGAATCATTGGCAAGTAATGTAAATATTTACGATCCGGTAAAATTGTGATGTAAGAGGAGGCTTAGCTTGCCTACGGCGGTTCAGTAGTAGACTGGCCAGCCGGCTGTTGTGTTGTGTTTTGTCATAGAGCTGATATTTGGGGGTTGAGAGTCTTTTGACTATAAACGTTGCAAGTACTGTAAGGCAACGGGTCGTTTGACCGGAAGAAAACCTATGGTGACGTCTTTCCTTCGAGGTTGGTCTTGAGAGTTTGAGGTCTCCCTTGTCTTCTCGATTGACACGATGCGGCGTTGGGGTAGGGAGACTAGTGAGGTACCCCAATTAGCTTATTCGATTGGGATGCGAATCTGTTTAGCGGCAGAGTTGCGTCCGGGGGAAGCCCCTATACTATTTCAGGTGACACTAGCTAGTTGTTGAAGATTATTAACCAATAGATCCGAATGATATTTGAATGAGATGGAAAATATGGAATGGGATATATTGAATAGAATATATCAGTGGCTAGGGGGCGTAGTACCCCCGGATGAGTCTTACTATTTAATTATTAATTTTATCCAGATCAGTAAATGTTTGTTTTGTTATTTTCATGTACAATGAGAGAGTGCTTGCCAATGACCAACTAAATGGATATTTGAGGTGAATTGTGAGACCCAGTTGAGTAAGCCCCAGAAATAAGCGATTTTACAAAACAAAACTTTTTTTTTAAGTGAAACTTCTTTGCGCTCGTTGGGAGTAAAAATTCAAAGCCATGACACACGAGCTAGCGAGATGACACGCGAGACGATACGTGAGACGAAAAGTGGTAACGATAAAAAAACTGGTAAGCCAATGAGGAAGTTGAAATGGGTTTTTGGAGCGTCGAATTTCGGGCCCTGAGCTAGAAGGCTGAAACTTTGAATGTAGTTAGGTTTTCATGATATTTTGATGACGTTTCGTGCACTATGAAACCCCATCATCAATGGCAGAAAAATCGTCCGATTTAAATGAAATTTGGTATGTCGATAGATACGATAGAGTACGACACGTGTCACTGTGACAGTTAGTTTTGACTTAAGAGCATTTTGTCAAGTTGTTACCATTGGTTATAGCATAGTATAAGGAAACTAGTAGTTTTACTCCTTGTCAAATCCTTTGTTCTTTTTCTGCCACTTTATATGACCTTGTTCTCGCCTCCCGTGACCACTGACGTAGCTGTATAGTCGTGGTCTATTAACTAGGCAAAGTATAGTCGTGGCACTCGCCATAGTTTCACAAATATGTATTTAGGAAAATATGAGTTCACAATAAAATAAAATAAAAAAATTTGATCATCGAGTAAAAACTTGCTTGAAAACAGAATATTTTCACATTTCGCGTAGGTAAAAATTTTTCTGTATCTGAAAATTTTCTGATTGGAAGAAATGCGGAAAAAATATATAATTACATATTTTTATATTATTATCTATTTCAGAGATTTTCTACAATTTTTTTTTTATTTAAAACAAGTTTAATTTTCTGTACATAACTGGAGTCGGCATAAAATTCTGCATATAGTACACCGCCTTTATTTAAAGCACACTGCGGTGTGGCCATTCTATTTCTTATTTACTAAAACTTTGGTTAAAAACATTATATACGAAAGGTGGTAAAAAACTAGAGTGAATATAACTTTATTAATACTTAGCTATGTTTTCTTAAACACGAAGGATACCAGAATAAATTCGTGTAGAAAAATTTACTTTATCGTATACAGGATATTTTTTAAGGCGTCACCAAAATGGTAATATTTAAAATATTGTATCTCGTTTTTTTTAAATGCAACACCTTGTATATTATTTTTCTTTCAGATGTAGAATTAAATGGTAAACATTTTTTGTATTTAAAGTATTCTAAAATTTTTAGCCGTTTTGCAAATATTTTCTGTATTTCATTACCATATGGGATTTCCAACTATAAAATATCAGACAAAGATCATATAGGTGGCTTTGATAAAAATTTACTGTTTAAATAGCCATATGTAATATAATACTGCGAATATCTGTGAAACCGATAAAAATTTAGAAACCCTTTAAATAAAAAAATGTTCACTTTTTACTTCTGCATCTGACAGAAAAATAATATACAGAATGTGGCATTTAAAAAAATTGAGATATACCATTTTAAGTATTCCGATTTTGGTGACGCCATAAAAAATACCCTATACAGGGTGTCCCAGAAATGAGTGCGTAATAAATGAGGCTCCAACACAGCAGCT